CCCAGCCCGAGTGCGTGCTGAAGCGGCGGAGGAGCGCCGCCGCGGCGATGGGCACCACGATGCCGGGCACGGTCGCGAGCATGTTCGACACGGCGTAGAACAGCCCCGGGTCCGCGTTCGCGAGCTCGAGGAAGATCGCGCAGACGCCGAGGCCCACGCCGACGTAGCACAGGGCGCCCAGGTTCAGGCAGGCGATGGCGACGCCCGGCGCCGCGGGCGCGAGGAGCGCGGCGAGGAAGAGGAACGTCGCCGAGACGACGCTGCCGACGACCTGGCAGACGACGCGGACGTCGGCGCGCCGGTGGCCCCGGGCGATGGCGGCGTCGCAGGCCCGGCCGCCGACGAGCAGGCCGAGGCCGATGAGCACGTAGGGCGTCGCGACGACGAGCGACGCCTTGGCGCCCTCGAGGCCCAGCGCCTCTTCCGCGAACGTCGGCAGCTCCGTCAAGAGCAGGTACGAGAGCCAGGCGGACGCCGCGTGGTTGCAGTAGATGACGAGCTGCACGCGCCCGAAGAGGAGGGACCGCCAGTCGACGGGCGCGGCCGCCGCGGCCGACGCGCTCGAGGCCGCCCGGTCCCGGGCCGCCGCCGGCGCCGCGGGCACGAGCGCCACAAACAGGAGGGACCAGGCGAGCCCCGCGAGCGCGGGCAGGAAGAAGACGAGCTGGACGCCGCCGACGCGGAGTTTGGGACCGAGGGGGAGCCGCGCCCGCAGGATCAGCTCCGAGCCGGCGAGGCCGAGCAGCGCGCCGCCGTTCTCGCCGATGGACTTGGCGACGCCGATCGCGCGCGAGATCTCCGCGGGCTCCGCCCACTGGTTCACGAGCGCGTAGGTGCAGGGGAAGGTCGCGGCCTGCGCGAAGCCCGTGGCGACGCGGAAGGCGCAGACCGCGGCCCCGGACCGCAGGCTGCAGCCGACGGCGAGCGTCGCCGCGGACGAGATCGCGACGGAGGACGCGAGCGCGGACCGCGGCGAGATCCTCGACGCGAGGCGGCTCCAGGGGACCTGGCACGGCATGTAGCCCACGAAGAACGCCGACAGGCTCAGGGCCGCCCAGGGCCCGCGCCAGTCGTAGCGCTCCGGGGCGAGCGTCACGGCGACGCTGATGGACGCGCGGATCCAGTACTGGACGGCGATGCCGCAGCCCACGAGCGCGAAGACCCGGTAGCGCGCCGCCCGGGACGGCACGTCCTTGCGGTCGTCGCCGTTCAGGGCCAGCCCGGGTGCCATTTCGGGGCAGCACATCGCGCTCCGAGAGCTTCAACGAGAAGATAACGAGATTCGAAACGCTCGTGTTTGAAGTCCGCGATGGCGAGGCAGCCCGCGAGGTGACGACGCTCCGCTGCGATGGAGCCCGTCTTCGCTCCGGCGCGCGACGCCGAGTCGCCGCGGATCATCGACCTCAGCGACGATTTGAAGCGCGCCGCCGCGGGTTCGCCCGGCGTCGAGCGGAAGATTTTGCTCCAGTGCGACGACACGGCCGAGGCGGCGCTCCTCGCCGCGGAGCTCGAGGCCATCGAGGCGGAGCGCCGCGCGTCGTTCCACGACTACTCGAGCCTCCTCGCGGAGGGCACGGTCCGCGAGGGCGAGTGGTACAGCGACGGCCTCGTCCGGGGCCCGCGGCTGCGCGGGCGCGACGCGACGACGCTGCCCATGGCCGAGCTCTTCAACAGCGTCGCCTTCGCCAACGCCTTCTCCGTGTCCAAGGTCGCCTACTACCTCGTCGTCGAGCGCGACGTCGTCCAGTACCTCCTCTACTTCTCCGCCTTCTGGACCGCGTGGACGCTGAGCGCCGAGCGCGCGGCGGCGTCCACCCACGAGCGACGCCGGCCGGGCCATGGATGCAGCGTTTTGTAGGTACGCGGCGCGCTACAACGACACGGATCTGGTCCACAAAGCGTTCTGGGCCGCGTACGGCGCCCTGCAGTGTCTGAGAGTGCATCTTGTCGCCGTATTTGAGTTATGTTAATTCGAGCAGGCGCGTGCGTCGTCGGCATGCTCATGCACACGGGCGGCGGCGTCCGCGGGCCGAACGCGGGCTGGTTCTGCGGCTGCAACGCCGCCATCGCGCTGCTCGTCTGCGCCATGCACGCGCGCGTCTTCGCCAGCTTCGTGCACCGGCGCCTCCGCGCGGCGGCGACGGGCGACGCGGCGGCGCGCCGCGAGGCGACGACCGTCGCGCGGTCCGCGGCGTTCCACGGCGCCGTCTACGTCGCGATGGCCGCGGCCTGGGCGACGGCCGCGCGGAGCGAGCGCGCGCGCGTCGCGGCCTGGACGCTGGCCGTGCTCCTCGAGCCCGTCGGCGAGGTCGCCTACGCGTGGGCCGCGGGCGGCGACGGCCTCGTGCCCGTGTCCGAGCGCTACCTCGTGCACAAGTTCGAGTCCATCTTGGTCATGCAGCTCTCCGTCAACATCATCACGGCCGCCGCGGCCGTCGACCCGTCGAAATTTCCCGCGCGGCAGCGGACCACGCTCCGCGTCGCGGCGCTGGCGTCGTACGCGCACTTCGTCAACTTCAAGCTCCTCGGCGTCGACGTCGACTCCGGCGCGCGCCTGCGGGACCCGTTCCTTTTCCGCCAGTCGCCGAGCCGCATCCTCTACCGGCTCCAGCAGCCCGTCTTGATCTGCTTCATCAACGCGGCCGCGGCGGGCATGGCGCGGCTCGTCGCGAGGCCCGTCGCCAAGGTCCCCGACGCGGACCTGCTGTTCGCGCGGCGCGTGGCCTGCGTCGCGTCCGCGGCGTTCTACGTCGGCCTGCTCGTCCAGCGCGCGCTCCAGGAGAAGCACGACGGGCCCTGGAGCCTCGAGTCGCTCGCGTCGATGAAGGCCGGCGTCCGCCGGGGCCAGGCCGTCGTCACGGGCGTCGTCGCGGGCTGCACGGCGTTCCTGCCGGACCTCATCGTCCTCGGGTGTTCCGGGCGCGACCTGCGTGCCTACAAGGCGGCGCGGACCATCTCCTGGCTCGCGGGCCTGTCGTCGGTCCTCGTCGCGACGCATCTCGCGGACATCGCGCTGGAGGCGCGCCACGTCGCCAAGCACAAGCGGCGGGTCGAGCAGCTCGACCGCCGCCAGAGCTCCCTGACCGCGTCGTCGTCGTCGGTGGGCACGCCGCCGGGCCTCGGCTAAGCGCGCTTTTACGGGCCCGCCTCCAGGGCGAGGAGCGCGGCGAGGACCGCCGCGGGCGTCGCGCGCGCGGCGACGTCCGGCGCGAGCGCGGCGTCGGCGACGGCGAGGAGCCGTCGCTTCGTCGCCGCGTCGCCGACGACGCGCGTGCCGAGCTCGGCGATGAGCACGCCGAGCGCGCGCGCCTCGACCTTGGCGAAGAGGTCGCGGCGCTCCTTCTCTACGTGGCCGTAGAAGAAGGACGCGCCGAAGTCGCCGAGCTTCACGAGGCGCGACGCGTCGTGGACGAGCGTGTTGTGGCCGTAGACGTCGCCGTGGGCGACGCCGCGGTCGTGGAGGTACGCTACGGCGCGCGACACGGACACGGCGACGTTCAAAGCAAAGGCCGCGGAGAAGCGCTCGCCCGGCGCGTAGCGGTCGCGCGTGACCTCGACGATCGTCGGCGGCTGCGCGAGATCCCGCGCGCCGGCGGGGAGCCGCTCCATGAGCACCGCGGGCGGGTCCCTCACGAGCGCGAGCGCGCGGATGAGCGACGCCGGCTGCGCCGCCGCGCCGCCGAGCGCCGCGTGCACGCCGAGCTCGTCCTCGGCCCGGCCGTCGCTCGATTTGAGCGCGAGCCGCTTGAGCGCGCCGGGCGCGCCGCGCCAGGTCACGGCGGACACCTCGCCCGACGCGCCTTTTCCGAGCACCTCGGCGCCGGCGACGTCGACGTCGGCCAGGGAGATCGCGGGCGCGGCGGCCGCGTCCACGGGCGGCGCGCCGAGCAGGCGCGCGTTCCCCGCCAGCGCGATCCACGCGAGGGACGGCAGCGACAGCACGGCCGCGGGCAGCGCCGCCAGATCGTTGTTCGCGAGGCGCAGCAACTCGAGCGCCGCGAGGTTCTTCGCCGGCGTCGTCCCGCCCGTGAATTCGACGAGCCGGTTGTTCGCGAGCATGAGCTTGCGGACGGTACCGAACTTGGCGTAGGCCGCGTCGTCGATGGCCGCGATCGCGTTGTCCGTGAAGATGACGTGCACGAGGTTCGGCGGGAGCCGCGCGCCCTCGAGCGCGAGCAGGCCGTTCGATCGAAGCCCCAACCGCGTGAGCGACGGCACCTTGGCGAGCACGGCGGGCACCCGGGTCATGCGCCGCGACCCCAGGATGAAGAGGATCTCGAGCCTGTCGAGCTCGGCGACGGACCGCGGCAGATCGACGAGGTCGTTCCGCGCGAGGTCGAGCTTCTCCAGGGAGACGCACGCGCCGATGGCCTCCGGGAGCGCCGTGAGGCCGCAGCCCGCGAGCGACAGCTCGCGCAGCGTCGAGAGGCGCGGCGCCCAGGCCGGATTGGTCAGCACGTCGCAGGGCGGCTTGTCGTCGGCCGTGGACGTCGCGGCGCCCGCGGGGCGCCGCGTCGTGCGGTAGGCGATGTAGGCCAGCGTCAAGCAGGCTCCCACAGCTTTCGCGAGCAGGCCGTGCTTCAGGTAGAGCACGCGCAGGCGCGTGAGGAGTCCCGGGCGCGCCATCATGCTCAGTGGCAGATCGGTTGCCGATGGCCCTCCAGAGCGCCCTCCGCTGCGCGCCGATGGCCCTCCTTGGCCGCCGCGCGCCGTCGGCGCTGCGCCGACGGCTCGGCACGCACTGCGGCGACACGAAGACGGCCGACCGCTACGTCGACGGCCTCGCGCCCAAGGAGTTCAAGCGCCTCGCGGCCTCCGTGGGCCGGCGGCTCCAGAAGGAGCACCCCATGAGCTCGCGCGCCATCGCCAAGGAGGCCGACGCGAATTCGGACGGCGTCGTGACGCGAGAAGAGCTGCAGCAGTGGTGGAAGCGGCGCGCGCCGACGCTCCTGGCCGTGTCCGCGGCCGCCGCGACAGGCCCGCCGACGCGCGACCAGCTGATGAAGCTGGGACTGGTGGCGGCCGTGCCCTGTTTTACCTTCGGATTCCTCGACAACGCGATCATGCTCGTGTGCGGCGAGGCCATCGAGGGCTCGCTCGGCGTCAAGTTCGGGCTCTCGGCGATGGCGTGCGCGGCGATGGGCAACGTCGTCGCGGACACGACGGGCCAGGTCTCGGGCGGGACCGTGGACACCATGCTGCGGCCCGTGCTCCCGGCGCCGCGCCTGTCCGAGGCCCAGCGCGCGAGCCGCGCCGCGAGCCTCACGCACGCGGTCGGCGGCGCGGTCGGCATCTTCGTCGGCTGCGTCTTCGGCTCCTTCCCCCTGTTGTTCTACGAGGAGCGGCAGGACGACGACGACGGTGGCGTGGCCTAGGGACGGCCTCGTTAGGTGTCGGGGAAGCGCCGTCGCAGGTGCTTTCGATGGGCCAACATGGGCTGCAACTTTGGTTCAAGGTACCTGGTAAGCCTCGAGATGATGCTCGCTCGACGCGCCAGCCATGCGCTTCGCTCTGCGTCGATCGCCGCCCAGGCGTGCCGCCGCCCTACGACGACTCGCCACCTGAGCGCCGCGCCGTCAACCTTCATCTACGACGTGACCTCCGGTGACTTCGCGCCCAAGGTGCTGCAGGCCCAGGTCCCGGTCATCTTGGACTGCCACGCCGACTGGTGCGGCCCCTGCAAGACCTTGGGCCCGCTCCTCCAGAAGCACGTGACCGCGTTGAACGGCGCCGTCGCGCTCGCCATGTTGGACGTCGACGCGGAGCAGGACCTGAGCGCGCAGCTCAACGTGAAATCGCTTCCCACCGTCTTCGGCGTGTGGCAGGGCGGCGTCCAGGACCACTTCGTCGGCGCGAAGAGCGACGCGGAGGTCGAGGCCTTCGTGGCGAAGATGGCCGCGCTCGCCGGCGGCGCCGCGCCCGCGGAGCCCGCGGGGGACTCGATCCGGCGGCGGGCGTTCGCGGCGCTCATCGAGGACGGCGACGTCGCGGGCGCGGCGCACGCCTTCAAGTCCGAGTACGAGCGGCTCCGGGCCCTGGACGACGACAACGTCGCCGAGGGCGCGAAGCGGAAGAAGTCCTTCACGCCCGTGGAGTTCGACGCCGAGCGGCCGGCGGCGGCGGAGATGGCGTGGTGCCTCCTGGGCCTCGCGCGCTGCGCGGTGGCCAACGACCCGCCGGAGCCCGACGCCGCGGCCCACCTCCTGGGCACGCTGCGGGACCCGAAGCGCGCGGGCGTGCTCGACGGCGACGCGGAGCTCAAGGCCGCGGTGAGCCACCTCGCTCTCGCGCTCGACGGCGCCGCGGCGGACGCGGCGTCGCCCCTCGCCGCGGCGCGGGAGGCCTTCGCCGCGGGCGACGCCGAGGGGGGCCTGGACCTCGCGCTCGCCGCCGTGAGGGACAGCGACGACGCGGACGCCAAGGAGGACGCGCGCGCGCTCGTGCTCACGTTCATCGACGCGCTCGGCGCCGTGCCCGCGGCGACGAAGGCGCGCCGGAAGCTCGCCATGTACCTCTTCTAATTGATCTGGCACTAGAATCTGGCACGGTGTCGCGCGCGCGCTCCGTGCGTCTTGCGCACTTCAGCGAATTTCTGGCCTACTTCAAGGTTGCAGCACAACGACTCGATTCTAGGACTATGGCTCGCGGAATTCAACTTACGACGATGCGCCCTTGCACTCTGCTCGCGGCCTTGGCGCTGTCCGTGTCGTCGGCGCCAGACGCGCCGCTCTTGACCTGCGGCCTCAACGACGCCGTGCTCACGCCGAGTTCATTCGGCGACGTCGCCGACCAGCTCGCCGGCAGTCTCCTCGCGGGCCTCTGCGGCAAGAACCGGGGCATCTTCGTCACGGCGCCCGGCGACGGCCACGTCTACGGGTGCGGCAAGTTCCCCGACGCCTGGGCCAACAAGAAGGTGCGCCGGTCCGGCGCGCCCTGGGACGCGAACGCGGTAGTGACGCAGTACCAGGCGGGCAACCTCACGGCGAAGGAGGCCTGGGCCGCCTACGACGCCTACGCCGCGCTGTCCTACACGTCCGGCGCGGGCTACGCCGACGACGTCCACGCCTGCGACGCCGGGGGGTTGGTACGGCTGCGGTGCGGCCGCTACGGCGACGACGCGCGCGGCCCCGTCCGCGCGGCGACGCTCAACGGCCTCTACGTCGACGACGACCTCTTCGGCGCCGTCGCCTACGGCGCCGAGGACTTCCGGGCCATGGCCGCCCTCGGCCTCAACGCCGCGCGCGTGCCCGTGCCCGCGGCCTTCTTCGCGACTCCCACGTCTGTCTGGGCCGAGACGCTCTACTCGACGCTCCAGGACTGCGCGAACGCGGGCGTCCGCGGCTTCGTGCTGGCGCTCCACGGCGCCCACGGGAGCGACGGCGTGAAGCACGCCGTCGCCTTCGCGCAGACGGTCGCCGGCCAGTTCGCCGGCGAGGTCGTCGGCGTCGAGGTCGACCGCTCCGCGGTCATCGACGCGGACGTCGCCGCGGCGGCGAAGGCGCAGCGCATCCGCCTCGCGCGGCGCGTCGCCGACGAGGCGGAGCTGGCGGACCTGGGCGACGGCGAGGACGCCGTCGCGATGGCGTTCCTCCGGTCGACGACGGCCGTCGACGTCGCGTCCTCCGACCCGGCCGAGGACCGGGGCAAGCTCGTCTACCACGAGGCCCTCGCCTGCGGCGCCGCGGCGCCCCTGGGCTTCGCGGCCTGCGCCCGGGGCGCGCCCGTCTTCGCCAACGGCTTCGACCTGTCCGTCGACGACTGCGCGTCCATGGGCGACGACTACGGCCAGTGCGACAACCTCGACGACCGGCTCGCGTCGCCCTGGTGGCGGCGCCACTACTGGTCCCTGTCCATGCGGTCCATCGCCGCCTTCGAGGCGTCGGGCCTCGGCTGGGCCTGGCACCGGTGGAAGGTGCCGGAGGCGGCGCAGGTGCACGCCGCCGTCGCGGGCGCGCTGGGGCTCCGCGAGGCCGCGGCGCTGTCCTGGGTGCCCGAGGACCTCTCGGCCGTGCCCGCCGCGACCTGCCTCCGCGGGCCGGACCAGGACGCGGCGCTCGGCGACGCGACTCTCGCGCCGACCGCGCGCGCGACGCCCGCGCCGGGGCCCGCGTCCGACTCGCCCCTCGTCGCGCGCAGCGCCTGCGACCCGCCCCTCCACGACAAGGTCGCCTACGGCACCTACGGCGCCGCCGCGCTCCTCGCGGCCCTCGCGACGACCGCGGTCGTCCAGAAGCGCGCGGCCGCCGCGCCCTACTCGCCCGTGGACACGACCGCGACGTCGGGCACGACGGAGCTCTCGGGCCTCGCCTAGGCCCCACGCGGCCCCTAAGATCAAGCACGATGGTCCGCCGCCGGGAAAGCACTCCACCCGTTCGATTCAACGTTGAGCGGCTCACCAAGGTGCACCGATCATGCACCAATTCATGCACCGCGTCTTATGGCGCGTGCATGTTCGCAGTGTTTGCTCCTCTGCGTGATCCGCGCCGCGTCCTTCGCGCCGCCGCGACCGCTTCGATGCGGTCTCAGCTGCGCAGCCAGTCACGGTGAGCAGGAGCTGTCGTCGCTGCGCACGGACGTGGCGGCGTGGGAGCAAAAGGTCGCCGGCTTGGAGGTCGAGCTCGAGGCGAGCCGCGCCTCGCTCGATTTGGCGCGCGCGGCGCTGCGGACCGCGGAGCCGCCGGAGCCCGCGGCGAAGAAGACGCGGGCCGGGGATCCGCTCGAGAAAGCCGCCGCCGCCGAGCCGGACGAGCCGCTCTCCGAGGCGTGCGCCGCCGAGGAGACGCTCTCCGAGGAGTGCGCGGCCGAGGCGCGCTTCCGGCGGTCCGCGGCGGCGCGGCGCGAGCTCGAGGCCGACGCGGCGCTGCGCTCCGCGGCGCGGCGCGAGGCCCGCGGCGGCACGCACTACGAGGTCCTCGGCGTCGCGCGGGACGCGACGGACGACGGCATCCGCGCCGCCTACCGCGCCGCGGCCGCCGCGTCCCACCCGGACGCGGCGACCGCGGACGCCGCGCGCTTCGCGGCCGCGCGCGCCGCCTACGACGTCCTCAAGGACCCGAAGCGAAGAGCGGACTACGACGGCGAGCTCGGCTTGGAGGATCTCGTGGACGGGACGGTGTCGTTCGTCCGCGACGCGGCCGTGCCCTTCGTGCGCGACGCGGCCGGAAGCATCGCGAACGTCACGAGTTCGTTCTTCGCGGACGACGCGGACGAGCGGGACGCGCGGGGGCGCTGGGCGCGCGCGCTGCGGCGGGCGACGCGCGCGGAGCACATGATCACGCCGTCCCCGGGAAAGCGCCTCGCGGTCGACCGCAACGGCACGGGCCTCGCGATGGTCGGGGCCGGCCTCGGCCGCCTGCTCGCCCGGGACGAGGCGACCGTCCGCCGGATCGAGTCGCTGAAGACCGCGGCCGTCGACGGGCCGACGCTGACGCTGGCCTTCGCCGACGACGAGCCGCTGGCGCTCCTCTTCGTCGACGACGGCGCCGCCGCGGACGCGGAGGCCGCGCTCCGCGATACCGTGCGCGAGCTCGCGGCGATCCGCGAAGCCGACGCGTCCGCGGCGCGGACCAAGGCCGTCACCGACGGCCTGGGGGGGCTCGCCGTCGCCGGCGCGGGCGCGCTCGTCGTCGCGGGCATCGTCGAGGCCGAGACGGCCATCGCCGCGGGCACCGCGGCGGCCGCGGTCCTCGGCACCGTCGCCTCCGTCGCGTTCGGGCCCCGCCGCCAAAGGCGACGCGAAGGAGGAGGGATAGCTTTTAATGTTCATGAAGTGGAACCCTCGGCGAGGGCCTCGGCAGTGCACGTCGCTCCGGACGCCAACGTCGTGGCAACGAGGGCTTCACCAAAAGGGAGATCGAGCATGGCTCTTCTCCTCAAGCACATCGCCGCGGCGATCCTGCTCGCGCAAAGCGCGGCGCCCTTCGGCCTCGCGCCGCTTGCGCGCGCGCCGCTTGCGCGCGCGCCGCGGTCCGTGGCGCTGCGCTCGACGCCCGTGGACGTCACCGACGCGGCGGTGAAGCAGATCGAGGCCTTCAGGCTGTCGCACGCCGGCCACGAGCCGGCGGAGCTCGGCGCGCTCGAGCAGGCCGTGGCGGCCAAGGCCGAGCCCCAGGCGGTCGGCGCGGCCATGTACGAGCTGCTCTGCACGTCGATGCTCGACTACGACCGCGACGTCGACGACGAGGAGAAGCTCGTCGTCTCCGCGACCGTCGGCCAGACGCTGCCCAAGGACGCGCCGGGCCTCTCCGAGGTCATGACGAACCTCTACGTCTACGGCCTGCGCATGATCCCCTCCGGGTTGATCTCCGTCGACGACTGCAAGCGCATCGTCGAGGACCGCATCGCGAAGCGCGTCGGCCTCACGGGCGAGGAGCTCGACCAGTGGCTCGACGTCCCGGACATGGGGCTCTAGGCGTCCGGGGCTCGTAGCAGGGGGCTCGAGTAGACTCGCGGGGACCCGGCGGAGCTCACGCGCGGCCGCGACGCAGGAGCGCGTAGGCGGCGACGCCGATGGCCGAGTTCCGCGCGACGATGGCGAACAGGTCCGTCGCCATGGTCGACGAGAGCCCCCGGCCGTAGACGAGCGCGAGGCGGTTCGCCGCGTGGCTCGCGAGCACGTCGCCGCGGGACGCGCGGCGCCGGCTCCCGGCCCGCGGGACCGGCGCCGCGGGGCCCTCGGCGTCGTCCTCGCCGTCGAAGACGCCCCCCCGCTCCGGCGGCGCGGCGACGTCGTGGACCGACGCGCACGTCGCGAAGAGGCCGTGGACGGCCGCGGCCGCGTTGTCGAGGCCCGGCACGGCGACGCCTCTCGCGCCCGCGACGTCGACCAAACCGACGAGCGCGTAGCGCGCGCCGGAGACGACGGGAGCGGCCCGGTGGAGGAGGCGGCTCGGAAAGAGGACGGCGTCGCCCGCGTCCTCCGCGAGTGTTTCGTCGAGCAGCGCGAACTCGAGGCCGCCGCCGCCGTAGCCGCCGTTGAGCGCGACGGAGAACGACAGCGCGGACGCGTCGACGTGCGTGGCGAGGCCCGGCGATGACGCGTCGTAGCGCACGACGTAGAGGTCGCGGAGTGCGAGCGTCGATGCGGCGACGCCGTAGTGCCGCGCGAGCGCGGGGAAGATTCGGGACGTCGCGGCGTACGTCGCCGAGACTCGCGCCCCGGGCGGCAGCTCCTCGACGAGAATTTCCGTCGTCGGCAGGTACTCCTGGGATTCCTCTATAGCGTCCCATTTGTTCGTCGCCTCCGCCGCGTCGATGAGCGCGGCGCAGTCCTCAGGCGAAAAGAGGCCCTTCTGGACGTAGATTTTCGCTTCGCTGCGATGCGTCTCGAATTGATAATGGACAGCGAGCAACGCCGCGAAGATGGTGGTTGCTAAAGCGACCAGCGTCCTCATCGTTTGCGTAGACGCGTCTCTATCGTTGCGTAGATGCGATTACGAACCCGAGCTCGATCACGACACTGTGGATAAAAATCGGCGAGTTTTTAGCAAATTTGAGGCAGATAGGCATCGAAGGACCGGCCGCCGCGGCTCTCGCGAAAGAGTAGAATGGCCACCTACACCGCGGAACGCAAGGCCGAGTTCGCGTCCCTCTCCCGGGGCGTGCCGTACGCGGAACAAGCCAAGCGCTTCCTGAACGTCTTCTGGACCCACAAGGACATCGACTTCGCGAAGAAGCCCGACGCCCGCGAGGCCGTGTGGAACTACACGAAGCAGTTCGTCGCGCTCGATACGACGAAGAAGGACTCCGGCACGGAGCTTGATGAATTTCAGGCGCACCGGCGCGGCGCGGCGTCCGACGGCCGCGGCGCGCGTTCGAAGTCTCCGCCGAAACCGTTTCGACGGACGCGGCGCGGTCGCGAGCGTTCGGCCGAAACCGTTCCGCAGATGATGACCTCCCCTTAGGTTCCTCGAGAAGGAGGTCAAGGCGATGACGATCAAGGACCTGCGCGTGCAGCTCGCGGAGATCGAGATCGACGACAACAACCGGATGTCGCTCCTCGAGTTCCTCGTGTTCCATTACGGCGGCGCGAGCTGGGACGCGCTCCTCGACTGGGAGCCGTCGGCGTCGCCGCGGGCCGTCGCGCGGCTCAAGGCCGCGGAGGAGGAGATGGCCAAGGCCCAGGCCGCGCTCGCGTCCGCGACCGAGGCCGCCGCGTCCGCGCAGGCGGCCGCGGCCGGCGCGGCCGGCGCGGCCGAGACCGCGGCGAAGGAGGCCGCGGCGTCCGAGGCCGCGGCGCGGGAGGCGCTCGTCGCCAAGGAGGCCCTCGAGGCCCAGGAGCGGGCCAAGGAGGACACGCTCAAGGACTGGGAGGCGAAGGCGGCCGACGTCACGCTCTGTGTGGAAATCAACCACTGGTTTGGGGGGTCCCCACCAAACTTCAGAACGAAGTCGATTCGGCTGATTTTTGGACGAATCGATTGATCTCGTCAAGTTCTCGAAGCACGGCAGAAGAGCGTGCGTCGAAACCGTCGCATACGCTCACATTGAACTCGGGTTGAAGATTTGATTTCCACACAGGTCACGCTGTCGGCGATGAAGCAGGCGCGCGCCAAGGCCATGGTCTCCGTCTGCAAGAGCGAGGACTCGCAGCCCCTCCGCACCGCGCGCATCACGGCGGGCGCGACGGCGCGCACGGCCGCCAAGGCCGCCAGGGCCGCGGAGACGTCGCGCGTCGCCGCCGTCGCGGCGATCGACGCCAAGGCCGCGGCCGCGGCCGCGGCGGCCGAGTCCCTCGAGGCCGCGGACGACGCCGTCGCGAGCCTCAGCGTCAAGATCGAGCAGGCGGCCGCCGACTGCGCGGGCAAGGGCGGCAGCGACGGCTCCCTCTGGTGGCTCGACCGCGAGTTCGACGAGGCGAAGAAGTACATGGGCCCGAAGCAGCTCGCCAAGGCCGAGAAGGCCCGCGCGGACGCGAAGCTCGCCGAGGAGGCGGCCTAGGCCGCCCCTCGCCCCTCGAAGCCCCGGGAGGTGCGCGGCCGGGTCTCTTAGATCTTGGGGGATGGGTCGTGTGGCCGGGGATCGCGCGCGCGCCGCCGGGACGCGGTCCCGCGTCGCCGCTGCGCGTCCTTCTGCTTCTTCAGTCGTCCTCGTCGAACTCGGACTCGGAGTCCTCGCCGTCGTCCCAATCGTCCTCGTCGTCCTCGTCGTCGTCGCTGTCCGCGTAGACGACGGCCTTGCGCGCGCGCGCGGGCTTGGGCGTCTTCGCCTTGAGGGGCGCGGGCTCGTCGTCGTCGTCGTCGCTCGGCACGACGATGGGCTCGTCCTTCTTCGCGCCGGCCTTCTTCGCCTTCTTGACGACGAGGGGCGACGCCTTGACGGGCGAGAAGAAGTCGCCGTCGTCGTCGTCGTCGGGCTTCTTGGGCGCGCGCTTCTTGCTCGCGGCGGCCTTCTTGGGCGCGGCGGCCTTCTTGGGCGCGGCGGCCTTCTTGGGCGCGGCGGCGGCCTTCTTGGGCGCGGCGGCGGCCTTCTTGGGCGCCGGCGCCTTCTTCTTGGGCTTGGCGCCGAAGTCGTCGTCGTCGTCGTCGTCGCCGCCGAGGTCGAAGTCGTCGTCGCTCTCGACGGCGACGGGCTTCTTCTTCGGCGCGGCCTTCTTCTTCGCCGGCGCCTTCTTGGCCGGCGCGGGCTCCTCCTTGGACTCCTCGAAGGCGAACTCCGCGTCGCCCTCGGCCGCGTCGCCCATGACGACGTCCGCCGACGGCG